GGGTCCGCCAGGGATGGGAGCGGGACCGCCTCGACCAGCTCCACCACCACGGCCGCCGAAGGCGCTCGGCCGCACCCAAGGCTCCACCAGGCCGCGCGTCGAGCGCAGCCGAAGCCACTCGACGTGCAGGACGGCCCGCCCTGCCTGCGCAGGCTCGCCACACCGCGCAGGCCCCTGCGCGCAGAGGTGCAGCAGCCCAGCAGGACCGCCGCCGCGCGGAGGGAAGGCGCCGTCAAAGCGCATCGCCTCAGCAGGCAGGGACGCGCCTCTGAACTGCGCGCTCAGATACTGGCCTCCAGCACCGGGCACGCCGACCTCGTCGATCTCGAACAGCGCGGTCCCACTGATCGCCCCCGCCACGTCGTGGGTCGGCAGCTCGACGGCCAGGCCCTGGCGCCAGTTGGCCCCGACGAGGGCGGCTGCCTGCGTCCAGGCCCCGTCGACGAGCCCGCCAAGCTGCACTCCTGCAGCTGGGACGACCGCACCTCCCAACACGCCGAGGGCAGCGCCCGGTCCTGCGGGCCCCGCGCCAGGCGGCGCGCCCGCGCCTCCAGCTCCGCCAGCGCCAGCAGCGGCCAGCGCGCCAACCAGCGCCGCTCCGACGCCGCCCCCGCCGCCGCCGCCAGCGCCGTCGCCAGGCGCCCCGAGGGCAGGGGGGGGCGCGCCTGCGGCGCCCGCGCCAAGGGCTCCAGGCAAGCCAGGGAAGCCGCCGAGCCCGGGCACCACCGGCGCACCAGCCGCGCCGCCTCCAGCGCCTCCGCCAGCCGCAACTCCAGCCGCGGGCGCGAGGCCGCCTCCGAGGCCGACGGGCGCACCTGCCGCTCCAGCAGCCGCGCCTGCGCGCCCGCGACCGCGCCGTCCTCCGCCATGTCCAGCGCCTCGGCCGCGGGCGGCAGCGGGAAGCACAAGAAGAGCCTTCGCCTTCGCCTTCGCCTTGGCCTTGGCCTTGGCCTTGGCCTTGGCCTTGGCCTTGGCCTTAGGCGGCATCGGGCGACAAGGTCGACAGCCGTGATCTGCGCCGCCAGCAGCCGCGCCTGCTCAACGAGCAGCGCCCGCTCCTGCGGTGCCAGCCGCGCCTCGCGCGCCCCCTGCCGCGCCAGCGCGAGGAGGTAGCACAACTCGCACACCTCCAGGAGCGCGCCGCCCTCCGTGAGGGCCAGACCCTCGCCCTCGGCGAGCCGCCCGGTGCACCAGCCGCAGATCCGAGGCTGCTGGGCCCGCGGGGCAGCGAAGCGCGCGGTGGCGCAAGCAGGGAGCATCCCAGGCCCTCGAGGCCCTGAGCCACAAAGGCTGCCATGCATTCTGATGCGGCCAACGTTCGCTCATTACCCCTCCGCCCACACATTGACCGTAAACGTGTTCATACATATATATATATATATAATTATATATATATGCATGCATGCATGCATGTATGCATACATACATACCGTACACACGTGCATACATACATACATAAGTACATTCGCAGTGGTTCCAGAGATTGTCCGAGTCTCGCCTCTACTGGCTCCTCACAGCCTGAGATGGTCGAAGAGGCCTCCCAAAACACGCCCCCACAGCTCTGTATGCCCCCGGGAGACGCCCTGAAACCCAAGAGGGGCCCAGCATGGCCCCAGAAGACTGCGCCTGCGGCGACGACGACGGCGACGACGACGGCGGCAGCGACGACGACGGTGACGGCGGCCGCCGCAGCGGCAGCGCAGCGGCAGCGCAGGCGCGGAGGGAGGGAGGGCCCGCCGCTCCAGGCGGCTCGGCGAAATGGCCCACGGGTCCCTTCGCGTCCTCGTGCTGCGATAACCTGCAGTCCCGAAACGGTGCGGTGACGGACCGTGCGGTGACCTCGAACCCCCCCCCAAGACCTCACCGCACGGTCCGTCAGCGCACGGTTTGGGGAGCTCGGAGGCCCCCGTCGCCCGAGACGTCCTCGGAGAGCGGCCCGAGTCCCAAAACCGTGCCGGCGACCCCGAATCCCCACCGACTCACCACACACGGTGTGGTCACCACCCCGCTCTGGGGCCCCCGACGGCAGGAACACGCACCAGGAAGAGCAAGAGGGGCGCTTCTGGCCACGGCGGCTCCAGGCCACACGACGGGGCTCCACGGCGCAAAAACCTGCCTCCGCCTCCTCCTCCTCCTCCTCCTCCTCCTCCTCCTCCTCCTCCTCCTCCTCCCTCCTCCCTCCTCCCTCCTCCCTCCTCCCTCCTCCCTCCTCCCTCCTCCCTCCTCCCTCCTGGGGGACGGCCCGAAACCCCGAGAGCCGCTCCCGAGCCGAGAACGGTCCTCGCGTCGGCGTCTTCGCTGCACCGCCTTCGGACACACTTTTGCCAGACGTCCGTCCCTGGGTGGTCCCTGCCGTCGCTCGGACGTCCAGTTCCCGTGCATGTTTCGGTTTCGTGCGTGTGTTTGTTTTTGCTCGATGGTCCTGGATGGTCCTCGATGGTTCTCGCCGAGAAAAAATGCACACGTCTGGGCGATGCCAAGTGGTGAGGCGGGGGGCCGGTTCCAGGCCCGGCCGGCGCGCTCCTCGCCGGCCGGCGCCCTCCAAGTGCGCGACACCAGGTGCCAAGCCGTGCGGCACCCGATGTCACGCGGCAGCGTCTCCCTTCGAGTGCCCGCGCTGGTGCACAGTGCGCAGCGTGCTGCTATCATGTGAAGGGGCCCTGGGACACACAAATAAATACACAAATAAAAGGATTCCCCATATTTCCCCATACTTTCTGGGTTTACGTCTTCCCCCCACTGCCCCCATGTATTTTCTGGGGGATCGACGATTGATCGTGTCTGTGTGTTTCTTCCCCTCCTGATCATGGCCCTCTCTGCAGCTTTTTGCTCCCTGGGCTCAAGGCTGGTGTACTCCAGATTTCGTAATAAAGGGAGGGGGGTCTCATTTCGGGGGGGGGGTCTCTTCCAGGCTATCTTGGAGGGCCTGGGGGGGTCTGGGGACAATGTTTTGGAGGCTTCTCCCACAGGGGGAGGTCTGAAATGGCTTGTCTTGGAGGGTCCAGACCCCCTCCCTTTTATTACGAAATCTGGGGTATCTGGCTCGCGGTGCGCTGCCGGCACGGCGTGCGGCTCGCAGCCACGGCGTGCGGACACGGGGGGACCTTCACGGGCCGAGCATCGGCCGCCGCCCCTCGTGTGGCCCGCCCCTCCCGCGGCCGCCCGCTCCGTCTGATTCCATCATCCTGCCGTGCCGGCGTGTGGATCTGGCTCTAGCGACGCGCACATTCCCACACGTCTGCGGCAGGGTCAGAGCTTCGCACAGCCGAGATCACGAGAGCGGTGCTCTGGCAAGAGCTTGGACTGGTCAGGGCGCCAAGCGTCACATTGATATTCGCGGCGTTGGAGTCCCAGGCATGGCGTTCTGGCAAGATCTAGGGCTGTCAGGGCGTACCCATCGGTCGGAAGAAGTAGGTAGAAACATAACATAGGAAGGCGTCGGAAATAGATTGGGTTTCCGCCCGCCTCCTGAAGAGGAAGGAAGAGGGAAAACCACTCGACTCTTGAAGCAGGAAGGCGCTGCAAGTAGATTGGAATCTGGGAATCCAAAAATACCTACTTTCAACGACCGATGTGTAATGCGCCGTCCCAATGGCCCCGAGCTGCTCGATCGATCTGCGCGATCGCCAGGTCCGCAACAAAAAAAGAGTGTCTCTTGCCCCCGCCAGCGCGCCTGAATTCACGCACCGGTTGGGAACGGGGCTCCAGGCATCAGAGTCGGCGTGAAAACGCCGACGGTCAGAGCGCCAAGGCTACAGCCAGATCCCCGGAGGAATTGAAGAAATCGGGAGGTCACGTATAACTCGATGCGCAAGAACCCTCGAGAGAGCCGATCGACCCGCGAAAAGGAAGTGATGACTTGGATAGAAATCGCCTGACGACCGTCAAAGCCTTCAAGAACATAGAAAGGGGCGCGCACTGTATCCGACTGGGCCACCTCTCGGACCTCAACCTCAGACTGGAAAGACGCGGCCTGATAGAACACACTCCTGAAACCTTTGATCCAACAAATTTCCCAAACATGCGATGTCCTGAAATTTCTCAGTACGGGTCGTCGTCTCATGAAGACGCATGCTTTATTTCCGCCAGCTTCCGCGGGCCTTCCGCTTGTGCGCCACCGTGCCGCTGGGCACTGAATTGGCGTGTCCTTAGGTCCCTCGCCCAATTCCCTGAGCCTCAGTCCTCGGTCCAAAGGACGTTTTTAAAGAGTCTGGGCCCCATACTTTCAAATCTACTGGGGCTCCCGGCGTGCTCCCTGGGGTTCCCCGCGTCTCCCCGCGTGTTTTGTTCGGGCCCAAGAGGGTCACAAGACGGGCCAAGAGAGTCCCAAGAGACTCCCGTTTCGAGATCGCTCCAACACGCTCAAGACGGCCCTCAGACGGCGCAAGAGGTCCCAAGACGCCCCAACAGGTCTCCCAAGAGGGCTCCATGAGGCCAGAATCATGGATTTTCCTTAGGTGTTTACAAATTGTGGGCGTTCTCTCCTTTTCTGCTTCCCGACGCTCCCAGACGGTTCTAGAGGCCCCCAAGCTCGCCCCAAAACGGCCCAATAGGCCTCCAAGAGGGCACTCAAATGGCACAGGAGGGTTGCAAGACGGCCCAAGAGGCGCCCAAGACGGACAAAGAGGCTCCAAAGACGGCTCCAGGAGGGGGCCCAGACGGGGGACCCGAAAGGACATTTCGAGCCCTCGGTCCCGACTGGGTCTCTAGCAGGCTCCAAGAGGCTCCAAGAGGCCCCAAGAGGTCTCCAAGACCCTAGAGGCCCCAAGAGGCCCTTAAGAGGCCCCCAAGAGGCTCCCAAGTGGCCCCGAAAACTGCCCCCAAGAGGCCCCCGAAAGCGCTTCGAGAAGACCTCAATAAGCATCCCTGAGAACTCTGGCCCACCAGGCACCAGTGGCGGGATAGGCCGAAGGCCACCATTCGATGGAAAAAAAAGCACGCCCGCCCGACAGACCATCGCGCAGTGAGCAGACAGCGTGCGGGCTTTTGCGGCACCGCGCCTCGTCCAGAGGGGCCTCGTTCTCGGCCACCGCGACGCTCACGGCGTAGCGCAGGCTGCGGAGGCGGCGCCGAGCCTCTCGGCGATCCGCGCGGTGGGGTGCCGCAGGGGGGGGGGGGGGGGGGGGGGCCAGGCCGTGCTTCGAAGGACTAGGTCACCCGACTTCGCGCATCGCGCCCCGCGATGCGCGACGCGCGATTCTCTTCGCGCCCTCGCGCCCCCCCCCGCCCCCTCCACTCGGACAAGGGCAACTGCTCTGTCCTCTGGCCCCAACCGCGACGCGCGAAGTGAGAGATCATCCTGGCGCCCCCGCGCGTGACCTAAGAAGGCGTGGAGCTTCTTGCAGGCAGAAGCCTTCCCAGAAGGGCCCGGAGACCTTCGAGAAGGTTCCTTGAGACGCCCCTGGGGTCCTTCTGAGGGGGCCCCTGCCTTCTGAGAAGCCCCGCCGCCTTCGAAAAAGGCCGCCCTCCTCGCGCCATCTCCCTGCCCAGATCCCCGACACCTGGAACCCAGATGCTCCGCGCCCCAAAAAAATGGGTAGCGTTGAACAACCTTGTCAAAAATGGGGCTCAACCGGTATAACCTGTAAGATGGGGCGCCGTGGGGTACGCTCGAACGCACAAAAATGGTGCGCGATCAGAGGAAAGATGGGGCGCGACATGCGTCGCAAAATGGGGCGCAGCTGATCCAGAGATGGGGCGCAGATGTTTGGCGATGTTGATCTGACGTTTGGCAAACGTCAGACCAACGTGCGTGCTTGACCGTCCGACGCGTGTTATGCGTAGGGCGTTTGATCTGAGCCGCGTGTTGTTCATCATCATCATCATCATCATCATCATCATCATCATCAGCATCATCAGCATCATCATCATCACCATCATCATCATCATCATCATTATCATCATCAACATCACCAGCATCATAACCATCATCATCAGCATCATCGTCATCATCATCGCCATCATCATCATCATCCTCCTCCTCATCATCATCATCGTTATCAATATGTTCATCATCATGTTCATCACAATCAACATCACGAACACATACTGCACCATCACCACCCCAATACTTGCATCACAATCACGATCAGCATCGTCATTGCCATCGTTACCAGCATCATCATTATCGCCACCACACATAGTCACCATAATCGTCATCACCGTCATCGGTCATACAGATGTTGAGAGGGATCGGGGGGAGGAGCGAAGAGGCAGGAGCGGGGATATGCATAATGCAAGTGATAAAGTGGGGGAAGGGGGGGGACCAGAGAGGTTCGGATGATGGCGCGGACGAATTGAATAATGAAGGCGAACGAAGGAGGAGGAGGACGACGAGGGGGGGCATTTGTTAGGTCGGGGGGAGGAGGATGTGGATGAAACAGAAATGGAATGACAGGCGGATGAGGGGAGAGGCAGATGAGAAGGAGGAGGAGGAGGAGGAAGAGGAGGAGGAGGAGGCGGGTGAAGATGAGGACGAGGAGGAGGCGGAGGAGGACGAGACGGAGGAGCATGAGGAAACGGTGGAGATTTGTTGTTGCGCCCCTCCATTGCCCGCCGTTTCTGGCGCGCTCCCAATCAGTCGGCACTTGGCCGAACTAAATCGAAATAGTAGCCAATTCTCCAACGCTCGCATAATTTACACGACAGCTGGAGCAGCGGCGATCCCATCATTACTGTACTTGCGACCTTACAGATGTGACGCATAAAATCTTCGGCGTGATAACACCACAACCACCTACAATTGATGTATTTAGTAGATTCTCCGATATGCCAGAAGTGGTGATGCTTGTTCACAATACTCCATTTAAACTTATTTTGCGATTTAGCATCCGATGCCAACGCACCGTAAAAAAACCAACGTGCGTTCAACTGCTGTCATGCATGCTTGATGCTCTTCGTCTGAAAGGTACATCCCTGCAGCCTCAATGATCTGATAGAACGTGTTCAAATTGGACGCACACGCGTCCCTCATCTGTCGCATTCTAGTACCATCGTTATACGATGATGTCAGCGCAGCTGCAACTGGAAGCAACGCTCGCTGGGCAGCCGCCTTGGTCTTAGTAGTCACACACGGGTAGTATGGATGAGGGCTTTTCGAATTAGACAGGAAAAAATTGAGCCCGAATCGCCCGCACTCTGGAAACACCAGAAACACGGCTCGCAAGATGAAATGAAATTGGTCACACGTTCACGCCCCATTCATTCCACACCACACATATGATATAATTCACCGCGCGCCAAACCGTCAACCAACGCAATGCAACCACACAGCCGTATACCATGGTCAAGAAACAGCGGCGGATCAGCGACAGCTGTGGGACGACATCCTATGCCCACGCGTGCCGAGATCATTATATAATTATTTGATCTTTCTCCACAAGATACCGACTGCATCGTTTGCTGGACCAGCGGTCTGTTCATACACTAGTTCGTAAAATATGTTTCCCAAGACGTGGGATGCTACTCCCAAATCGACAGTGTGCATGGCGTCGGGCGCCAGCGTCGCGCCACGCACCCCCCATACATTAAACAGATGGTGGTTGAACACGTATGGTTCGGCACGTGGCCGAGTCATCCACGGGGCACGGTCCTATGGCATGGATTTTAACACAATGTCATTCATCCAACCAAACCAACCCCTCATCCTCCTTCCCCCATCCATCCATCCCCACGCCGCCACCTTGTCCTCCCTCGCATCGGTACCCACAACCTGTTCCACCACCACCCACCTTCTCACAATTCCCAAGAGGGGGGAGGGGGTGAGACAAATCGTAAGTTTCAAAGCCCATGGGTCCTTGTTGAAATCATTCCATGGGTTGTCGGACCTGTTCCCATCGCACGCCCAACACATCTTGACTGAATTGCTAGACGGGGCTCCCAAATGGTTGGCGTAGAATTCGAGATCACCCATGATTGCGTATACCCATGCTCTGTATGGCGTCTGGCTGTCGCACAACAGCTCTCCTGCTAATTGGGCGCGGCGGGAGCCAGCGACGAAATCCTCATTGTTCCAATCCGCCGCCCACGACGAGCAAGCCCAAGCCATGGACAATGCATTATCTTGAAGCGGTTTGGAAAACACTACGCGCCACAACGCAATGGATCAGTAATTGTCGAAACGTGAGGCGTTCGAAACCGAAAACCAGAATGACAGCCACCGACAGAAGGTTGGCGATGTATTGGGGGTCTGCGGGAAAGGCAGCGGCCGATGGTATCTTTGGATGGATGGCGGCCCTGAGCGAGGGCGTTCAAGCTCCAGCGAACGACTCGCCATATCTCGTGCCACGTGTCGTGTCCGTCGTGGTGTTTCCTCTTTGCAGTGCCACTGTACGGCCACGCCCCTATCAACAATGACAACTCTCGTGTCGAGCCCCGTGCAAGCAGACCAGACATCGATATAACCATCATTGACTCAGCAGTTAAGATCTCACCACCGTCGCCATGTATTCGTATTGGGATGGCGTGCTTCTCGCGGTCAGGGATCTTCCAAACTGGGTGTCTGCGGAGACGGGGGTCGGACCTGGAAAGGAATTAGACGAAACTGCAGACGCACACCGTGTGAATCTTGATGGGGGTAAAACCAAACCTGGGCGACGCACCTGTCATTGGTTTCAGAGCTGTAACACCGCCCCATAAGACTGGCACGCGCCAGACAACCGGCATATAAACGTTTGCCTGAAGTTTCTCTGACGCTTGTCAAACGTCAGAGAAACTTCAGACAAACGTTTGTATGATGTTTCTCTGACGTTTGTCAAACGTCAGAGAAACTTCAGACAAACGTTTGTATGATGTTTCTCTGACGTTTGTCAAACGTCAGAGAAACTTCAGACAAACGTTTGTATGATGTTTCTCTGACGTTGTCAAGCGTCAGAGAAACTTCAGGCAGACGTTTGTCTGATGTACCTCTGACGTTTGTCAAACGTCAGAGAAACTTCAGGCACGCGTTTGCCTGATGTTTTTGTCGGTCACACCAATGCGCCGTGTTGTCCAACGTATGCCAGACTCCAGAAACATGTCTGGGGCGCCACTTGCAGGCATTGCTTGCGAGTGGATCGCGCTGTCTACGCACGACGCGTGGCTGGAGACATGCGACATCTTACGTTCAGCTCCCTGAGCCTGCTCGCACCCGCCCAAAAGGCAGGCATACGTTCCAACCCGAACGTTTCTTGAAATTCAAGCCGATGCGAATGGAACAGGCTGCTGAACATATCGTGAGGCAGCATACAATGACAATTATGCTGAATGACTTTCAAAGTCCCTGGCTCAACGCAGCGTACTGGGAACACTTCTGGTTTAGGCAATGTTATATCTTTCAAGTACTTGCGAGTTAAATCTCGATGAATGTTCTGCTGATGTTCGCCCCAGCCCCCCATGGCCGCGATGTCTGCAATTTCCTTGACGCCCGCCATCCCGTCACGGTACGCAGCCAAACAATACCTATGCACTTCAGTGCCATACAAACGACCCCACGCCCAGTCTTTCAGCATGAGCGTGGATAGAGAAGACGAACTGTTGCGCTCCTCGACCTCATGGACACTATCTGAATCACAGTCGCGGCCATCGCCCGAGCAGGAGGCAGACGCTCCCGAGTCTGGCGTGGGGAGACGCCGCTTGGCCGCTCGCCGCAACATTATTGGGCAGCCGACAGCTGCAGATAGCAATCCTACCCCAAACGTACAGGCCTAACAGTCGCCACATGGGCGGACACCAAAGACTGTCACCATGCATTGGATGTATATTGAACACATGGGTGGACACTCTAATTCTTAATGTTGTCACGATCCTACACCGACAGTCCAGGCCCGAACAGTCGCCGCGTGGGCGGAACAACACATGCTATCATCAGTCATGACATGCATAGTGAACACATGTGTGTATATATATATGTTAAACGTTGCCAAAGTATGGTACGTGTTACACATGTGGATCGCAGCAAGCCCACCGCTCGCTATGCTCCGGGTGCTATCCTCGGGGCAGCTGTCTCACGCACTGAAAAAATGCACGCAGCTTCGCCCACGCGGCCCAGAGCAATATGGGAGGGTGCATGCAATCGGGAACCATACGAACGCTCGTC